CCCGCTCCCCCCCTCCCCCAGTGTAGGGGGCCTGTAATCAGAACAGTTTAAAACTCAGAAGATTTTGTCTTCTCAGCCCTGCCTCTTCTGGAAACTTCTTGTTTTCAGCTCTCATTCTTTGCCTCCTCACAGAGCTGCAAGGGTTTCCTGGGTTTTGGGGTGCCAGCTCCATGTGGGGTCCCTGTGCAGGAGCTGGGAGCTGGTCTTACACCACACAGGAAGTGCCCCATTTACTTAAGAACACACTGTCTTGAAATCACATTTGCACATAAAATGCTGTTTCTTTCGCATCCAGGAGGAGTATTTAAGCTATAAAATATTTGGCACGTCTTCCCAACCCCTCCCCCACAGTCTAGAAAATTAAGATTGCTTGCGTTAGAAAGTACTTAAGATATAATTGAAGTTTTGTAGGTCCCTGGGAACTGTTAGATGTTCTGGAATTTTCTGTGGTGCTAATCTCTTTTCAAAGCACCTTTTGGGTTTTGGTGAAGTCCTCGGGTTCCTGAGGCTTCACCCAAAGAATGACCTCCTGTGAATAAAGTTTACATTCTGCCTTTATAAGATCATAGAAGTGTCAGCCTGTTGGGGCGGGTGGGACTCTCAGGGGTTCAGGAGAGTCAGCTTCTGTCTTGGTGAGTGTGGACCTTATGAAGGTGACTTAACTCTCCTGATTTTCAGTGCCCTTATCTGTATCTATCTAGCATGTCCTAAGAATTAAGTATAAGGCATTTGGCGCTTCTGGTCATGCCCAATCCAGGCTGTGCCACCATGTAAAGGAGTTTTAGAAACCATAGCTACCAGCTCACATGCTGTGGCATCATTAAGGAGGAGCTGCATGTTGGCTCTTTTGGAGCAGACCCCTTGGCCCTCCTGTGTATTTTATTTGAGCTTAGTTGAAGGAGGTCACGAGGGGTTGTACAGGCAGATGAGAAAAGCTCTCAGCCTTCTTCTGCGCTGCACTGTTCATTTCTCCTAGAAACAGGTGAACTCATTCACCTCTTCGGGAGGAAGTGAGTATTGACAGAGGGATTTTTCCACCCTTTGTAAGACCTGGTTATACCTCGGATGGTGGTGTGTTTCCCAGTAAGCTGTGGGCATTCTGTGGTGTGCTTGAATCTGGATCTCTGAAAGGGAGGAGAGTGATAGGAAGACAGCATTCTGCACATACGAATTCAGAAGAGCATGGTTGGTGGTCAGTCTGAGAGGCCGACTGTTGGCTGTCAGTTTCCTCCTGCACCTGAGGGGTGTGGAGTGGAGTGTGTAGGCTGAGCTTCTGTGACACTGCCGTCCCTTGGTCTGGACATTCAAGCAGTGACCATGCCCCTCCTCCTCTCATCCACATGTTTTAACTATATCCCATGCTCTGGAAACACCATTTCATGCCCAAGATGGGCTCTGAAGGTGGTAAAGGAAGAGGGAACTAAACACAATAGAAACTTTCCTACTGGAAACCCCTTTATGTAGTTCTAAAACCCAAACATTTGATTTCGATTAGAAATGAAGACCATGAGGAAAACTCTAAACAGTCGCAAGCCTGACAGGACACCCATGAAGGAGTGAGAATGTGTGTGGGTTGCTGAAGCTTGAACAGAACATGGGTTTAAGGAATTTGATACCCAAATTCATGTTAGTGACCAGCTAGGGCTATAGGATGGGGAAGCCATAAGGACTGGCTGTGACCTATGGGGTTGGAGGTCAGGGGTAATATTTATAGGCTTTAGTTAAAAGACACATATTTTCATTCATACAAGCACAAGCTTACAATGAGCAAATTCCATTAGTACTTTGAAGTCAGAGGAGGAAATGAAAGAGATAATTTCTCTTCATGGAAGAGTTCATCTACAGGAGACAAATGACCACCTTGTGTTCCCTCCGGCAATGGGGGCATTTAGGGAGCAGGCTTCCATCACTAACCATTGTGTGTCTTTTGACTTGGAATAGCAGCACATATATCAAATATTAGACTATAGCCCACATGAGGAAAAGTTTCAGAACATGAGTTAATGTTGTCTTGAATCCTAATTGCATATGGACTAAACCCAAATTACTCCAAAGCGAAAACCACAGACACATTCTTCTGTGTTTTTATAGTGCCAGACTGAAAATCAAAAAGCAAAGATTGTAATTCAACACAAATAAACAGCACCAAGTAAAATGCTAACGCACGTTTATATTTTAGAATTTAAAAAATGTAAATGATAATTTTATACTGCAACATCTGGCCAAATTCAATTAGGTTTTCAAACACCAAGGAGGCCTCAGAATGACTTCTCTTTGGTGAAACACAAGCACATTCAGATTTTTATTGGGTTTGACACCGTGTGGCTTACTCACAATACAACTGGCATCTGACAGGAGAGTTAGCTCTTTTCTCTCTGTGGCCATCACTGCTCTCTTCTCCCCAACTCTGCTCCTGCCCCGGTCGTGTTTGGCACCTTCGGAATTTCCTCTGCCAATCTGCTGACATTCTGCTGTACCGTCTCCTGGCGCTCACTGAGAATCTGGAAGGGGATTCCTGGATTGGGTTCTCGTTCTCAGTCCCTAAGCCCCTGTGCTGGGTTCTGAAGTGGCTAGAGACCCAGCTCTTCTCACCCCCAGGCATCCTTAGTAAGCCCTGAGCCCCGGGCAGATCGTGTGTGTGTGTGTGTGTGTGTGTGTGTGTGTGTGTGTGAGGGGGGCTGTTTAGTAGCCTCTAACAATGGTGAGGACGCATAGGGCCTATGGAGGAGAGGGCCAGCCAGAGGCCTTCATGCTCCATACCCGGTTCAGAACACCTCAGTGGGGCTTCTCTAGGCCATGTTCTGGAGCTAGTGGACTGTAGTCATTTCTTAAAGAACTGGTCCACAGGTTTTTTTTTTTTTTTTTTATAACAACCCCAAATACAGCTGCAGCATAAAGGTTGCCCTTGCCCAGCTGCGGGATCTCCCAGGACGTTGCCTGCTCTGGTCAGCACACACAGCTGCCCATAGTGAAGGGGCAGGTGTCCCAGGCTGAGCCCCCAGTGTTTGTTTGAATGGATGAACCAATGGTCCGTTGATGACATTGAGGCCTGGGTTGTGAAGGAGGAAGGGACTCTTCCCAAGGTTCCAGTGAGTGCTCTCTGAGCTTGACTCCAAAGCCCTCTGCTGGCCCCCAGAGGGCTGCCGGTGCATCCCTCTGGCCACACAGGTGTGTGTACACCTGCTGGCCTTTATGTTTGCATGAAAGGATTAGCAGACATGTTGGCAGCACGCCGAGCAACAATGGCAGGGAACGTTGTTGGGTAAGTCGACAGCTGAGTCTCATTTCTAGGGTGCTTTTGAACTTTAGGGTAACAAGACTGTGGCTGCCTAAGGGGGGCAGGGTCTCTGTGTTTACAGATCTCTCTGAGTCCTTTCCCATTTCATAACTTACTGTGTTCTGATTTCACCAGCTATTGTAGCTCTACCACACAACTCAAATCCCTGCCCCAGTGTTCAGGATGTTACCTTCAATTGCCTGCTTTTGCCTTTGGTCACATCCAGCCCCGGGCTGGCTTTTCCTCCCAGGTCTGGCTTCTGCATCGTCTCTGAGGGTCCCTTGT